TATTTATTAATTCTAAATGTAATTTATTTAAATAGAAAGTATATACCAAAGGATATTATCTGATCCTTCAATTTTGGCTGATGTTGCAGCAATCCATTATATCAGTAATATTATTTCATACTGTTAATTTATTTTTTGGCATTCAGTAATATATATATTGTTTAATTTAGAACCTAAAAACTATGAATCTCTTATTAATAAAGTTCAAATTTTGATTAGTTCGTGTGAGGACGTAAATGTTTTAAAATGTACTGCAAAGTACGTTGCAAACCTTTCAGAACAACAAATTAGAACAATCATCCTGAAGGCTGAAAAAGGTATAAAGTCTAATATTATAAATAATTATACAGAGATGATGATAAATTATTTTTGAAAATAAAATTCTGTGTGTTAAATTGTACTGTAATAATTAATAATTATTAATAATTATTAATTAGTTACAAAGTGGTCTTCCTTCTTGGTTTTCAGAGTATTTAAAGAAACTAAAAGATTATGAAGATGAATTGTTTGATGTTCCCATCATGAACCCCATTTTTTGCAATATTATAATATAAGTAAATTTGGTGCAAAAATTTGGCATCAAATTTTTGATAAAAATCAAATTAAGCTGCTTTTTCTGGATAAAATTTTTGAATTTTCTCTTTCAAAATATGAAAATACTTATTTTAGAATAACAAATGCCCTACATAAATATGAAATAAATCCAGAATGTGCTTTAATAATTGAAATAAATGGATTTGAAACAAAGAATAAAGCAACATACCTTAATATCTTAGAAAATTGGTAAGATGTTTATGTTCATAGATTTAGTGAATATAGTATTAATAATCTTTTCAGGTTTAGAGAGTAGGTTAATCTGTTACCTGTAATGTCTGAATCGTATTATATAGAGATTTACATTTATTAACCACTTCAAATAATTTTGCATAATTTACTATACTTACGAATTCATCTCTATAAGTAGCTAGCTATATCTCTTTTAAATTATGAGTTAAGTTAGAAAAATATTGTTCAAATATTTATTTATATTTATTAACAGTCCTGAACATGAAACTAAATATTCTTTTAAAAGAAGAAGTTGGCATCATTATCTGCCGTATGGTGAGTGGCCATCAGACTTAGAAGAATTTCAAAGTATATTTGATATACCGGATGAGCTCAATGATCAAAACATTATTGTTGAAGAAAAAGTTATAATTAAAAATCAAATCGATGATGAACCTATTATTTTTTTATCAAATGCTACTATTCTATTAAATGAAGATGCAAAACCAGGGATTATCTATGTTCGAGTTTATATTAAGAAGGTTGATATAGCTCTTACATATATATATAGAAATAACTTAGCATACCTTCTAATTGTAGAAGCAAAACTTCTTAATGCACCCTTTCACAGAGTTTATGATAAACTCTTACGATCAATAAATGATGCAATAAATAGTTTTCTAATTTATATAGCAAAGGATGCTAAGAATATTACAAGTATACTAGAAAATCTTTTAAAGAAATTAAGATGGATAGCAATTTTTGTTGCTGGTAAGTGGTTATTGTTTTCTTTGTACAGATATAAAATATACGCAAATTTATTTAATCAATTTTTTAGAGGGAAGATTTTCTTTGATAGCTATTAAGCTTATGAATAATTATCAACTTCGGTTATGTTTTCCTATAGGTGAAGCTAGAGTTCCTGTAAAATCTGACAATATTTCAGATTCAATCTTTTTGCTGAGTTTATTAATCTATATTAGGGTTCGTCTATTACTATGGTTATTATATCTACTTCAATATTTACAATTTTGTTTTTTTTTCTTTGTAGAAAACTGTTAATAAAAACTTAATAATATTAAAAGAAATCGAAAAAGAAATTGAAAGAATTAAATGAGATTCCTCTCCTCTTGAAGAAATTAATTTAGCAAAAGATTTCCTTGGGAAGACTGTTCATACAATGCTATCAATTCCTCTAAAATATAAAAAAAATTGAAATAGACTTAAGTTTTCGCATTAATTGAGTTTCATTATCAATTTTATTATTGTGAGTAGTAGGCAGTTTTGTTATTAACCTGGTCTGAGGGACCATTGATGTAAATAGAGATCGAATTATACGTGTTTTTGAATATTTTGGTAAAGAGAGATTATTAAAATTACGTTTTTTTTTTATCTATTACAAGTAGTCTTGAATGTTAAGTCTGATTTAATTTATCACTCATTATTTGTTCAAATCACTATAATTTATTCTAGAAAAAAATGTTCAATCATAATTAAGAATAAAATGTTTTTTGACCAATATGCTTAATTATATAAAATCATTGAACTAAATGTGCAATGTTCAAATCTTTTCACATCCAATAT